CCCGGGGGCCCCCCGGGGCCCTCCCCCGGGGTCCCCCGGCCGCAGGGGCCCCCGGGGGGGGGCCTGGGGGCTCGCCCGAGGGGGGAAGGGAGGGGGCCCCCGAGGGGGGCCCCGGGGGGGCCCCCGGGGGGGGCCCCTGGGGGGCCCCCGAGGTGTGTTTGATAGAGGTGGGGGGGACTGTTGGGGACATCGAAAGCGCAGTTTATTTGGAAGCAATTCAGCAGCTGAGTCGGCGAGTGGGGCGGGAGAACTTTTGTTTGGCGCATGTTTCTTTTGTGCCTTTTGTGGGAGAACAAAAGACCAAACCCACGCAGCACGGAGTTCGGGTGGGCTTTTGGGTTGCTTTTTTGCTGCTGCACTTTGCTGCAGCTGCTGCACTTTGCTGCTGCTGCTCCCTTCGTCTTCTGCGCGAAAAACGGCAGAAAATGACCCCCGGGACGCCCTGCTGCTGCTGCTGCTGCTGCTGCTGCTGCTGCTGCTGCTGCTGCTGCAGGAGTTGCGGGGCGCGGGCTTGTCTCCGGACTTTGTGTTTTGCCGAAGTGAAGAACCTCTTTCGGAAGCAGCAAGACAAAAGATTTCCCTTTTTGCGCAAGTCCAGCCACAAAACGTGAGCCCCCTGCTGCTGCAGCAGACCAGTGACGCGCTGCATGAGCAGCACGAGAAGCGCTGGGCTGCTGCCCTGCTGTTGCTGCTGCTGCTGGGAAGCAAAGAAGCAGAACTGCTGCTGCTGCTGCTTGGCTGAGTTGCTAAGGCTGCTGTTGCTGCTGCTGCTGCTGCTGCTGCTGCGCTTCGCAGGTGTTTTCTGTGCACAACTGCGAAAACATTTACAAAGTGCCTCTCATTCTGGAGGCCCAGGGCCTCTCTCGCCGGCTGGTAGAGGTGACTATTTGCTGCTGCTGCTGCTGCTGCTGCTGCTGCTCTCTCTTGTGTTTCTTTTGCTTCTTTTTGGCTTCAGAGGCCCCCTGTCTGCAGCTGCTGTTGCTGCTGCTACTGCTGCTAGCCCTTCTGTCTCTCTTGCCTCTTTCTAATCTTCTGACGCGCTGTGTCTCTAGCTGCTGTTGCTGCTGCTGCTGCACTTGCTGCTGCTGCTGCTGCTGCTGCTGCATAGGCAAGTGCGTGTCGAGGTGTCCCGCAGCAAAAGCAGCAGCAACTGTATTTAAACTCTGTAAATTAGTTAATTTAATTGAATATGGAAATAAATAAATATAGACAAATAAATATGTACAACTAAATACATATTATGAATAGACATCTGCTGCTGCTGCGCTGCTGCTGCTGCTGCTGCTGCTGCTGCAGCGCCTGGGTCTGGAGGCCTCTGGGCGTCGCCGTGACGCAGCAGCATCTCTCGAGGTTTGGCGCCTCATGGCGGAGCGTCTCCGCATAGTCCCCCCGGGGCCCCTCCCGGGGCCCCTCCCGGGGCCCCCCTCTGGGGGCCCCCCCGTTGGGGCCCCCTCGGGGGCCCCCACCCCCTCGGGGGCCCCCTCCGTGGCTTCCAGCGGGGCCCCATCGGCGGCGCCGTCAGGCTGCGCGTCTGCATGCGGGCCCCCCAGCCCCTCGGGGGCCCCCCTGGGGGCCCCCCTGGGGGCCCCCCAGGGGGCCCCGCTGGGGGCCCCGCTGGGGGCCCCCCTGGGGGCCCCCGGGGAGCGTCCGCGGGTGTGCATTGGGATTGTGGGGAAGTACACGGGGCTGCAGGACTCTTACTTGTCAGTGGTGAAGGCGCTGGAGCACGCGTCGATGGAGGCGGGGGTGGAGTTGAGTTTGCTTTGGATTGAAAGCAGCAGTTTGGAGAGTGCAGCAAACGCGGGGTTTGCTGCAGCGTGGGCAGCACTGGCAGCAGCAGCAGCAGTGGTGTGCCCCGGGGGCTTCGGTGACAGAGGCATTTGGGGGAAGGCTCTGAGTGCGCAGCACTGCCGCGAGCAGCAAAAGCCCTACTTGGGGATTTGTCTTGGCATGCAAACTGCAGTAATTGAATTTGCAAGAAACGTTTTGGGGCTGCATGCAGCGGACTCTGAAGAGTTCAACCCCCAGACTCCCCACCCGGTGGTGGTGGCCATGCCGGAGCACAACCCCGGCCACAAGGGCGGCAGCATGCGTTTGGGAAAAAGAATTACTAAAATTGAAAACTCCGAAAGTCTTGCTGCAGCGCTTTACGATAAAAGAAGTGAAGTGGCGGAGCGGCACCGGCACCGCTTCGAGGTCAACCCGGTGTACGTACACCGCATGGAGCAGGCGGGGCTGCGCTTCGTCGGCCGCGACTGCAGCGGCAGCAGAATGGAAATTGCAGAACTAAAAGACCATCCTTTTTTCATTTGTTCGCAGTTCCATCCCGAGTTCACTTCCCGGCCCCTCAAACCCAACCCCCTCTTCCTCGGGCTCGTCCTTGCTGCTGCTGGGCTGCTGCAGCAGCGCCTCCAGCGAAACGGCGGCGTCCTCAGGGCCGGGCAAATCTACGCCGAGCTGCTGCAGCAGCAGCAGCAGCAGCAGCTGCAGCAGGAGCTGCAGCAGCAGCAGCAGCAGGAGCCGCACAAAAAGGAACTCGCCACTGACCCACACTGACCAAACACATGCATCTCACTGACCTCCCAACTTGCTGCAGATGCACACAATGCCTCCTGCTGCAGCGGCAGCAGCAGCAGCAGCAGCAGCAGCAGCAGCAGCAGTTCTTGCTGCTGCGGCCCTCGCCTGCGCCAACGCCAGGGAGAAAAATTGTAGACAAAACTTGGAATGAGAAAAAGCTCTTCGAGACTAAAGTGGAACTACAAATTGGGAGAAAGGACTAATTGGGGACATGAATGTGTGACCGCAGGAACACCAGCAGCAGCAGCAGCAGCAGCAGCAGCAGCAGCAGCAGCAGCAGAGTGTGAGGCGCAGCTGTGTGTGGGCCTTTGCGTGTCTTTGTGCTTTTCACAAATTGAGTTTTGTCTCTTGTCTTTCCTTTTGTCAACAAACGACAGCAGCTAAAGCTGATTTGCCCTTTGAAAAAAAAACAAAAGTGCCACCCAAAATATAATTTGAATATTTTGCAAAAAGTAAAATTAAAATACAAAAAGGAAAAGAAATTGGAATTTAACCTTTTAGAGACTGGAGACATCTCGAGGCACATTAGAAAAGTAAAGCTCTTATTTGCTGCTCCGTGAAGCTAAAATGATCAGCTAGCTGCAGCACTTGCTGCAGCACTTGCTGCAGCACTTGCTGCAGCACTTGCTGCAGCACTTGCTGCAGCACTTGCTGCAGCACTTGCTGCGGCACTAGCTGCAGCACTTGCTGCAGTACTAAGGCCGGGCTCCACAGAGCCGAGCTCCTCCAGCTGTTGCTTCAGCAGCTGCTGCTGCAGCTGCTGCAGCAGCTGCAGCACCTGCTGCAGCAGCAGTAGCCATGGGGCTGTGGACAAGCTGGCCGCCCTTTGGGCCCAAAGGCTGCTCGCAGGTCAGCAGCAGCAGCACCCTAGGGGCCTCGCAGCAGAAGCAGCAGCAGCAGCAAAAAGGGCCTGCTATTGGAGCTGCAGCAGCAGCAGCAGCAGCAGCAAAAAAGCCCTGCCCCTGGAGATGCAGCAGCTGCCTGCGGGCGTGGGTGTGGGGCCGCAGGCTTGTGCCTTTAAAGTGTTGAAAGTTTTGTCTAAATGCATTTAAAAACATTAAAAGTTTGGACAAAGTTTGTCTTTTAGGAACATTTATCTGTGTGTGTGCATGCATGCATGCATGCATGCATGCACACACATTTCAGGTGTATGTTTATGAGTATTTTGAGCCACTTTTCGGGCTTTTTGAAGCAACTTAAGGATCCTGAGAATCCCCATTCTCAGTTCTCTCTTATTAAACAAAAAGAAAGGCTTTTTTGTCCTTTTGTTTCACGTTTTGAAGCATTCCCGCTGCTGCTGCTGCTGCTGCTGCTGCTGCTCGCAACAGAACTGCTGTGCGGCGCTGCAGCAGCGCCTGCAGCTAACTGGCGGCCTGCAGGCAGCTCAAGCCCCAAGTGCTTCCTGAAACTCGAAAGTTCTTTAATTCGATTTAGAGCTGCTGCCGCATGCAGCAGGGGCTTCCCGGGCAGCAAATTAAAGAATAAAAAGGACTTTTTGCTGCTAGAGCGCTGCATTTTGCTGCTGGCTTTTGTCTTTTGCTGCTTTTCTTTGTCTTTGAATGCCCGTCGCCCAAACGCGGTCTGCGGCGCCGCGGCGGCGCGCGAAAGCCCCCAAAACCCGAAATAGCGACAAATAAATAATTTAAATTAATAATTTTGAATATTTAAAACAAATTTGAAGAGAAAATTCGGGAAAATGCCGGCGAAGACAGTGCGGGCCATGTGGGCCATCGGTCCGTCGACCGTCGGCCCCCCGCGGCTCGGCGGCGCGAAGGCTGCGGGCTCTTGGCGACGGAAACTGCGGGAAACAGCCAGAGAAAATATAATTAAAAGATATTTTATGAATTAAATTGCAAAAAAGATGCATTTTGCACTTTAAAGAAGGAAAATTGACGGAGAATGATGCAGAACTCGCGCCACGGACCAGGGCTGCGAGGCTGCGACCGCTAGTGGCTGTGCCCTGGGGCCTCATCGGTCTCAGTCTGAAAACAAGAAAAGGGAATAAAGAGAAATAAATAAACTTTTCCATTTTGTTCTTTGTCTTTGTTGCTGCACAGCGACGGCTGTAGCTTCTACTGGGTTTGTGCTTGCGGCCACGGCTGCAGCTTCTCTCGTTTCTGTTGCTGCTGCTGCTGCTACTGCTGCAGCTGCTGCTGCTGCTGCTGCTGCTGACGCCGCACACGGCCTGTCTCTTTGCGTTTTGTTTGGATTTTGCACTTTTGTGCTCTAAAGTCTGAAGGCGGCAGGGTCTTCTTCTCCCTCCGCGTCTGAGTCCTCGAGACTCCAAAGAAGGACATTAGGGGACCGGCAGCGCCTCAAGAAGGCAGACAGAAGCATTTGTCTGTCTCCATTTGCAAATTAAAACTCTTCTTTATTCTTTTGAAATTCAAAAACGGTTCTGGAGAAGTCCCTGCGGATGCACCTCAGGTGTACGTACACCCCAGCCTCAGCCCAGTGCCCCGGGTCACTTGTTGCAGCTACGGAGTCCCTGCAGCTGCAGCAGCAGCAATAGCGCTGGATGTGAGCACAGCAGCAGCTTCACTTGTAGCAGCAGCAGCAGCAGCAGCTGCAGCAGCAGCAGCAGCAGCAAGCTGAGCTTTGTCCCGCTGTAGTCGACAGTAGTTGATAAAAGATAAGCAGATTGCATGTTTGTTTCGCTTCCTGCTCAGGCTCCATCTTGCAAGACAGCGCAGTTCGTCGAATTCCTCCACTTTTCATTTCTTTTTTGCAGCATGACTCATAAAATGAGGTCCCGTCTTGCTGCTGCTGCTGCTGCTGCTTTGCTGCTGCTGTGCGCGGCAGCTGGCCCCAGCCCCTCCTTCGCGCTGCAGCTGCGGGTCTCGCCCTCGCGGCAGAGTCAGGATGACTCCGCACTAACTGCAGAGCTGCCAGCAGCAGCAGCAGCAGCAGCAGCGCCAGCAGCGCCAGAGCTGTCAGCAGCAGCAGCGCCAGCAGCGCCAGAGCTGCCAGCAGCAGCAGCAGCAGCAGCGCCAGAAGCGCCAGAAGCGCCAGAGGCGCCGGCAGCAGCAGCACCAGCAGCGACCGCAGCAGCAGCAGCAGCAGCAGCACCCCCAGCAGCAGCAGCAGGTGACTCGGAAGCGGATGCGCAGAGCCAGACAGACACTGCAGAAGCCTCGCAGCAGCAGCAGGACCAAGGCGTCGAGCCCCAGCCACCGCAGCAGCAGCAGCAGCAGCAGCAGCAGCAGCAGCAGCAGGAGGCCGAGGAAGCAGCTGCAGCAAAGGCTGCAGAGGACCGCGAGGCTGCGCTGAAAGCAGCAGCACTTAGCCGCGTCAGCAAAGCCACGAGCAGCAAAGACTTGGTGGGAGTTGCAACTGCTTTGAGTTCGCACTTGCACGCCGCCACAAAAGCTGCATGCGGCATTCAGCCTTCAGCTCCAAGTGAGTTTTTTTTCTTTTTTTTTCTTTTTTGATAATAAGAAACATTTAATTATGTTGCAGTTTTGGAAGTTAGACTGTTCGACATAAAGTGCTATTTGCTGCCTCGTTTTCCTGTCTTTTTTTCGTTTTTCGTTTCTTTTCGCGTTTGCTGCTTCCCCAGCGCTGCCGTTTCTGCATGCAGCTGTTCTGTGTGTGCAAGTCGAGTTTTTTTCTCTTTTGACTTGAATTTCCCTTTCGGAATATTTAATTTTGTGAAAATAATCTGAAACTTGGATTTCTTTCGAGTTTTTTGCTTGCTGCAGCGGAGCCGTCGCAGCTGACGGAGCTGCTGCTGCTGAGCCGGCAGTGCCGGCACTCCTCAACTCCAGTGCTGGTGGTGGACGGCGGCAGCACGGGAACTCGGGGAGTTTTGTTTCGAGTGAGGTCGGAAAGCTGTTTCGGACTGGGCCGGCGGGTGTTGCCGGAGAGTCTGCGGCAGCTGGAAGAAGGTCCGAAGTTCGAAGGGCTGCGGCAGCTGATGGAGAAGTGGCTGGACGAAGCAGCAGGTCCTGGCTGGGCTTCGCGGGCCGTGGATTCGCATGCGCTGCTGCAGCAGTTCCCGCGCATGCGGCAGCAGGCTGGGGACCTGCTGCGCAGCGTGCTGCGCAGCGGCGAGCAGCTGGTGCAGAAGTACTTCTCCGAATATGAACAAGAGGAAGCGAAGACTGTGGGCATTCCCGTGCTCTTCTTCAGCACTGCGGGAGTTCGAGACACTCACGACTGGTACCGCCGGGGCCTTTTTGCTTCTTTCATCGAAGCCATCAACAGCTACTCCAGCCCCCAAGGCTTTGTCTTCTTCACCAACGAAGAGTGGACGCGGCCCATCCCCGGAGTCGAAGAAGGCATGTTGGCTTTCGTGGCTGCGAACCAGCTGCTGGGCCGCTTCGAGCGCGCCAAACGAATCAAAGAAAACCTCGAAAAAACCCAAACTCCCGCGGAAAGGAAGCAGCTCGAAACCCTCCTGAGCCAAACCCTCACCAGCATCGTCGAAGTTGGCGGCGCCTCTGCGCAAATTGTCTTTCCAGTTTACCGAGTCGGCAGCAGCCCTTCTTTCGTGAACACCACCAACTTGACCACTGGGGGCTACTTGAGCAGCGACTATCCCAGCGTAGACATCATGTCCACTTCGTACATGCAACTTGGCGCCAGCAGCGCCACTGGCATTTTCTACAAGTCGTACTGCAGCAACCCCGACAACCTCCGCAACGGAGTTTGCCTCAACCCCTGTCTTCCCAAGGGTTACCGGCAAGAGTGTTCCACGGGGGATGTTTCGATTTCCCCGGAAGGCACTGTTGCTGTTTCGAAGCAGCTGCAGCGCCAGCGCCTGAAACCTGCAGCTTACTACTGCACATCGACAAACGACGAAATTGCAAAAAAGGCTCTCAACCGCCTTTCCTGCATTGCTGCGGGAATCAATCCTGAACAGCCTCTGGAGGAACGCCTCGCCATCGAGGGCTGCAACAAAATGGAAGGCACGGGCGACTTCGCTGCATGCGCTGCTGCAGTCAGCAGCATACTTCTCGACCCCCCCCTCCCCCTCCCCGCCAACCAGGAAGCCTCCTACACTGGCTTCGACACTGTGGGACAAATTTTCGACTTCATGTCCACAGAAGCCCCCATTGTCATCACCGGAAAAGCCCTCGTCTTCCCCATTCGGGACCTCCAAAAACTCGGACTCCTCAAACCCTCTTTCCAGGGGGACCCCTGCGAACTCAAAGAAGCAGCCACGAAGTACTGCAGCGCCCCAGTCGTCCGAAGCGCCTCCGGCGCCCTCGTGCGCCAGCTGCAGCCGCAGCAGCAGCAGCAGAAAGCGGGCGAAGGCCCCGTGGAGGTCACGGTGAACAGCGTGAACCTCGAGAACTGCTTCAAGCTCGGCATGAGCCACGGGCTGCTGCGGCTGCTGAACAAAAGCAACATCCACCCCTCCAAGATCACATTTGCCATCGACATTGAAGACCCCATCAGCAAACAAAAAGTGGGAGAGTACGGCTGGCCCCCAGGAGCCATTCTGAGAGCCATTCTAAACCAAAGAAAGTGGAGCACTTTGGCTTACGAACTTGGCAAAAACCACACAGTGCGGGACCGGTGGAACGCAGCGCATCCGGCCAGCGAGCAGCAGTCTGAGGAAAATGTCAGTATGTAGCACTGCAGCAGCGCCAGAGACTTTATTATTTATTTGCAAGTTGCTGAGGCCGCAGCTGCCACAGAATGCAGAGTTGCCGTGCACCCGCGGAAGCAGCACGCCGGCAGGCCTCGGCACAACTGCGTGACAACCAGCAGCTGACGAAGAGCTCGTGAGAGCAGCAAAGACAGCCATCTCACGAGCCATAGCAGCAGCAGCGGCAGCAGCAGCGGCGGCAGCGGCAGCAGCAGCAGCAGCAGCGACAGCAGGCAGTGTTCGATTTTCAATGTTGTATTGCTACGGGGAGAAGCTTTCAAATAGAGAGAAGAGAGGCAGACCACATGGTGCTGTCTCTATTTTTGTGTTTTTTCCCTGTCCTCTCTTTTTCTTTGTCTTTGTTTATTTCGTTCACGGAAAGCAAAGGCCGTACACCGCATATTGTTTTTAGCAGAGGGCAAAGGGCTCCGCCCCCCTCGCCAGTTGTCTTTGAATTTTATAACTTTTATTTGCAGCTTGGGAGAGACTTGCAGCCTCCACGGTACCTTATTTTCACGCAACTTCTCCAATCATGAACGAGACGAAAGAGAACAAGACGGAAAGAAACAAATGAGCAAAAGATGAACTAGTCGCATGCAGAGGCAAAGGCAGCGCACAGAAGTCAGAGGCCAGCAATGAAAGCTGCATGCAGCTTTCCTGTTTAGCCTCTGACATAAAAGAGGGAGCAACTCGTAGAAAACGACAAATAGAGAGTGTGAATAGCTGCAGCACTTATATACAGAACAAGGTAGAAGGCAGGCAACTGCAACGTTGCGGCTCAAAAAAAAACATGTATTCAAAAGAAACGTGAACTGGGGGAACATATATGGTACACTAGCGTCTCGTAGGGTAGATTACACCCACACTTAGAGGCGCTAGACCCACATAGGTAGAAACGCTGATTTAAGGTTTCTCTAGCGGCCTGAGCAAGCTTGAGATACTCTCGAAGTCCCACTAAGCTGATTTCGACAGCTAGCGACGGGGACTAACCCTGTAGGCCCCTTCATTTCATGTAGGTCCACTGAGGCCTGAATAATTCCTAACTATTTGTATTAGTAACTCAAAGCAGCACATCGCACTCAACACCCGCTCAACACTGTGGGATGCGGGAGTGAACCCCGCAAGGGACATTGCCACCCTCGTCATTTGACTTTCCAAAAGCCCAACTGGCCCAGATGGTAGACTGAGAACCGAGGCAGTCGGCAGGTGTGCATTCAAGGGGGCTTGAGGCTTTTCTCTGTTATTTTCTCTGGCTAACTGGCGGGTGAAGTCCGCATCAGTACAGGACCTTGCGGGATCAACTGCTCCGATTCTACTCCCGGAAAACCGGTTTAATATGCTTTAGTTTGTTTCTATACTCAGTGTATATCACAAAGGGCCAGGAAAAGGCAATTATTGGCTGCCGGTAAGAAGGTCATCTGTCCGTCGAGCGCCTCCCGCGTCAAACTAGCAGCAGCTGGGTGAAGGCTCGCCAACTAGTAGTTCTGCCTTAAGTGCGAGCCCCACTTAGCGTTTAAATTTTATTTGCATTTGTTTTTACGACAGAGGTACATCATCCGGGCGAGCCTCGAGTTCCCAAGATGCTCTTAATTGGACACTGTCTCAGGGGCATCTTCCCTACACCCAGCCCCAAAGGGCGTTCTGCTGCCATGCAAGCCATGAGGCTCAATCGACTTTGACGCCATGAGATATGTCATTAATTAGCTGCAGTGGTGCTTTCCTATCAGTCCACTCTATTTTGTTCCCCGGACCTAAACTAGTTCTAGTGCCCGGCGCTGCGCTTCCCAGTCCACCCCTGCTGCAGGAAGCTGCTGCTGTTCAGTGTCCTTTTTTCTTTGGTTTCTGCCCTTTAACGGAATTGGTCAAATTGAGTTTAGTTGATAGGAAAATAGCGTTTTTTGAATATTTGCATATTAAAACATATTTTACTGCCGGTACAGACATATCCTCCCGGTGCCATCTCGCATCACTCTTCGTCCACTGGAGCCACTTGCTAACTTTTCTGGTAGTTCATCTTTCAGGGCTGTCCTTGCTCATCAGCGATTGCGATTAATGGCAGCAGAAGACCAGGTACCCAGAAGGATCCTACGCAGAGGAGGGGGAGGCGGCTTCTGGTTTCTGAACTGAAACGGCGAGTGGCAGGGTGAAATCCAGGTTCCTTTGGTGCACAGTGACTAGAAGTGTGCGATCTTGATAGAAACTGGCTAGAAAAGGAAGCGGACATTTCCGTCGCGCTATTCTACACTTATCCCTTTGCTGTTTCTTGCCTCGTTTCCGTGCCTCCGTTCTCCGGTTCTTCGTTTCACTATGCCTTCCCTGTAGTGCTGGCTGACGAGCACTGCCCACTTCTTGTTTCTTTGCACTTCCCACTGATCCGTTACGGCCATTTGGTCTACTGTCTACCTTTCTACTAATTTGTGCATCTGCAACAGTTCGTTTCGCGACTCACCATGGTGACTTCAAGGGCTCGACGGTGGCTCGTTTGCTCCTTCTTCTTCCTCGTAGTCTGCAATCATGTTCTCGCTGAAGAGCCCAACACTTCATTTCTCCAGTCTGTCTCCAGACAGGAGGACAAAAAAAAGCCGCAGCAGCAGCAGCCGGAGCCGCAGCTGCAGGTAGAGCAGCCACAGCAACCACAGCAGCAACAAGATCCGCAACAGCCGCAGCAGCAGCAGCAACAGCCGCAACAACCGCAACAGCAGGAAGTGCAGCAAGGTCCCATCTTGCCCGGCAAGGAAGCAGAGGTTGATCGCATTCTTGCCAGTCCCCCGCGCTTTTTCCATAGTCTTCTCAGTGCTGTTCCCCTGTCCATTTACGGGAAAGACAGAAATGGGAACTACTTGGCTTTTTGCCAAGTGAGATGCAAGCTGCATAGCATCAGTGTTGCCTGCAGCTGATCAGTACTGCATGCAGCTGTGGACTGCTTTTTCGTTGCTACAGGTCTTTTGGCTGTGCATGACAGAGTGAATCGGCTCTTCTGTAAGCCTGAGTCTGTCACAGTTTTGCATTTGAGTTAATAGGGCGTGTTTCATTAAAAAGTGTTTTTGTTTTGTGTTTCAGAGCGGCTCCATCGTGTGGGATGTCGTGGAGAAGATGACGCACGAGGAGCTGAGTGACTTCATTCGTTACTTTGCGCTTTTCTTCTGGAAACACGTGGACAAGAGGGCCAGCAGCGAACTGACAGTGGTCATAGACGCAGGGGGCTTTCCGTTCAGGAAAGTGGTGAATGGCAGCGTGAAAATGGTGCTGGATTCCATTGTGGAAGGTCTAGAAAGCACAGTGCCGTACGTGGGGGAGCGGGCGGGGCAGGTGTTTCTGATCAATGTGCCCTCATTTCTGAATCCAGTTATTGTTCTCGTCACCAAAATACTAAGAAACGGTGTCAACCTCACCTCTTACGGCAGCCGCAGCAGGTGGGAGCCGGCCCTGAAACAGCATGTGGGCGAGCACCACCTTCCCAGGGAGTACGGCGGCACCAACAGCACCAAGCTGCAGGACTCTGTGGTGGTGAAGTACATCAAGCAATCCGTTGAAAAAATACTTAGAAGAAAGGCACGCCATGCAAACAACCCGAAATAATACCACGTTGTGTTGTGGAGTGTTGAGTTCAACGTGACACGGCTATGCTTGTCTGCACGTGCATGTCGCACTCGCACTTGCTGAATAGTGCTATTTTATAATCAACTGCAACGCACGTAGTTAATGGGTGGGGCTGCCAGAAATAACGCTTCGGCGCACTTACTGGGTGGCGGCTGCCGCTGCCAACACCGCCGCCACTTTAAGGGCGTGGCCACCCACCCGTTATTTCAAAAGTCCTCGGCTAAAGCCGGGGAGTGGGGCACTCACTGCCCCAGAGGGGGCATAGGCGCCGACGTTGCCAAATTGCTGCCTCGACTTGGCAGCATATGCGCATCTTGAGTGGTTTCAAGCAGTAACAGCGCGGTAGAGGGGAGCTGTAGCGCCAGGTAAAGTGCCACTGACAAATAGGCTCTGTGGCACGGAGAGAAGACGCACTATGCTAACTTAGGTACACCCTGAATTGAAGTCTACCACATGCAGCAAATGCCCAGACGCGGACAGGTAAACGAGGTGATAGAGAATGAGACAAATATGTGGATACAACTTTAAAACCGATATTGCACGAAAGACACTACCGTGCTACAAAAGTCTGCGAAGTGCAGACCAAGACACGAGCAGATAGCTGTACTGGAGAGGGAAGCAGAGATTTTCTTCCGGCTGAGTCCATCTCACGATTAGAGCTGCCTTAGAAGTGGAGGATAGACAAAGGCCTTCAGAGAAGTCTTCGCTTCGGAGCAGCACAAGATCTGCTGGCAGTCGCTACTGCGATTGGTGCTGTCGCCGTTCTCAACGTATTTTACTGTGCATGGGGCCTCTCCACCAGACTCTCTGTGTCTCTTTCTTTTCCCAAATTCTTCTTGCGTAGCTTCCTAATCAACAGAGCTCTCCAGGCCGCTACAATGCCCATGCACACCAACACAGCCATTCCACACAGAAGCAGCCAGGCACCGCCAGCACTTCTGGTATTATTCGTGCCGTTGCTGCTGCTGCTGCTGCTGCTGTTCGCGAGTTCATCTGCTTTGGGGTGCCGAAGGCCTGTGCTTGAGCCTTCCTTTGAGACAGAAGATTCGTGAGGCTGCGCGTGTGCCTGCGTGTGCGGAATGTTCGGCTCCCCGCTTTGCTGCTGCGGCTCTTCGTGGCTATGTTTGCCATATGGGTGGTGATAGTGATGCCTCTTTTTGTGGTGCTTGTGGTGGTGGCCTTCGTGGTGGGACCACTGTTGTTTTCCCACATCCGTATCTGCTGCTGCGGTCGCGCTGCCACCCAGAGCCGACGCGAGAACCACTGGCAGCAGCAGCCCAAATACGGTTTTAAACGCAGAATCAAAGAGCCCATTATTTTTTTCTTCATTTCCTGTTATTCTCCCGAACCCGCCCTCAAGTCCATCGACACTCTTTATCTCTCCTGGGTTTCCTCTGTGCAGCAGACGGCTGCCCCCAGTGAACAGGGGTGCAGATCCGCGCTTGTGCAGCACATCCACTGTAAGCAGGCCCCCAGTGCTGCTGCTTTCGTTGCTGCCTTCCTGGAAAATGTGGGGGTTAAACATTAGCGAAACCTCTTCATTTTCAGCTCTGCAGCAAAAGTGAAAGGAACATAAACACGAGACAAGCAGCTCCTGGCTTCGTAGTTGCCCAAAGGGGAGGGCTTAAAACGTACAGGATATCTGTCTCTTCCTGTTGTGTCCGGCTGTACCGACAGAAGCAACACAAAGAAATGCGATGCAGCTCGCAACTTACAGATCATCAGTCAGTTCTACCTGCAGCAGCACTGCCCCCAGCTGCTGCAGCGTATAGGTCAGCGTTTGCTTGTCATCTTTGGCAAGCCGACGCTGCTGGGTTTCCCAGGCCTGCGATATCTTGAAGGGCACGGGCTTGTGCAGGTTGCACCAATTCATTATATCCGCATGCGATGCTTTGATAGAAAAGGGCTCACTCCTCCAATTTAGAAGAGCTATCACGTGGTCGCCATCTGCCAACTGCCGAGACAGCACGGAAACGCCGTCGGCGGCGGAGATACGGCGGACTGTACAGAGGCAGATATGAAAAACTTGTCCTTGTCATCTTTTGTGGTTCTGTCTCTGGCTTACTATCGCAGCCAATCAATTAACTGAACCAGACTAAAGGAATAGGACAGTGAAAGGCCCGTAAGGCATGAATACACGCTGAACCCATTTGGTGCATGAAGTGTGGTGACGAACCTTTTCCCCTCATCGGATCTGCAAAAGCCGCCAGCAGCACTTTGTCCTCCAGCAGTCTGGCTGAGGCATATACGAGTAAGCAGGACAAGAACAGTGTCTATGCAGAGGCAACTAAGCTCTTGAAGCACTGTAGGGCGGAGAAACAGGAACTGATGAGACATATACAGCACAGATGCGCAGAGCGATCCCTATCTGACTGTCCACGCATTTACCCACTTTGCATCTTAAAGTCAGCGACACTAGAGGCTTGGACGGAGGCACGAGAGCCAAGGACAGCCTGAGGCAGGAAACGGTGTCACCTTGTATCACAAAGGTATCGAGACAACAGAAAATGCTGCGGGCGGCAAGCATTCAGAACTGCCCTGTCTCTCTTTGCATTTGATGTGCCTTGTTGCATTCAACGCTTCATCCAATATAGCTGAGACCTCTCTGTACGGTGGCTCCCGCTCACAGCCACTGCTAGATTTGTCTTTAGCTGTGCCTCCGATGACGGGTCCGACCACCTCCTCTGGAGTTTAGGACTGCCTCTCCAGCTGGCATCTTCACCGTGGGGCTGTGCAAGTAGCCACGAGTCCAGCTCAGCCGCTAACTGTGACCCGCCCTTAACTGCTCTTCCGTTATCTATGAACTCGTCGCACAATAAATGGAAGTCCTCAAAGTCTTCGTCACTGCAGCAGAAAGAGAAGGCAAAGAGTCATGTACATTTCAAGCGCCTTGCGAGCAGCACACTGGACAATTTTTAGAGTGGCTTTCACACCCCTAATTTTGGTTTTCAGCTCCGGCTCTAGCCACAGCCTAATTTGTGGATTAGGTTTTACAGTTGCAAAATGGTTAGCAACAGATGCGTTGAGCTTGCATTGACTTAATACTGAGGTCAATCCGTTTTTTCATTGCATCTCACTCTTCACTATTGGAAGATTGCCTTGTCCATGAGCAAAGCAGCAAAAGAGGCGCCCTCTGGGAATTCACCGCTTTTCTCCACTCTCTAAACTCTAAGAGAGCCTGCGGAGTGCTGCTGGCGCACGAGTTCAGCTGCAGCGGACGCACGCAGCCACTGTTCATGCAGTTTCAGGTATGAAACAAACTAGACGAACTTCTGCATGTTGCTTTTACACCAAGCTCGGAATGACAGGAAAAAAAAGGCCTTTTACTGAACTTCCTAAAGTGAAGGAATCCCGCGCTCGAGATAGATCAGGTACTGCTTGGTGCTTGGTGCAGGCGTCAAAAGCACGTTAGTACTAGGTTAGCCAATCGCAAGTGGGGTGTCTTCACCACACGAATTAGCGAATGCACTTGCCTTCAGGAAGTCGACGCCCCAGCTAGTAGCTGCACGCACGATATCCGAAGCCTCGATCCTGCGTTTCAAAGGCAAAAAGCAAACCCTCACATTTCAACGAAAGCAGAAAGAATGGCGGTATCTAAGTTAGTTACTCAGTCAATGACGCATTACTAACAAGTAGCTCATGTATCAAGCACTGCGGTCAAAATATTAATGCATGGTGTACCAATAAGTAATGGGAGCCTAATAGCATCATACATACAGAGACACGCAGCACTCAAGGGCATTCTTTGCAGGCAAAACAACATGAACCGTCAAGAGTGAAGGTAAAAGGATTAAAATGTGCATTGAGGTGCACACGCCATCGCACTGCAGACGGCAAAATGTGTGATGGAGACTACTGACTGCACTGCTTTAACTAGCGTGACAATACTGCTTATACGCATCGTTTTTGAAAGAAAAACACCAAAACGGAGAAAAATGCTCGGTGGCTTTCTGGTAGAGTGCTGAGCTATGTAGATGTCGGAAAATTCGTCCACTATCAGTGGCAGTGAAATTAAGGATTACTTGTGGGAAGCTATGAGTCCGTGTGTGTATAGGAAATTTAATGAATATTTAATTTATCTTGTGTAATATGTATAGCGGAAGGGAAAAAAGGCTAACCCGTATGTGTTCGGCTCGTGTTCAGGACAACTTTCTGCTGATACAGTGAGACCGAGACCGAATAGAAGTCCTCGCAGATGTACCAAAGCCGCAGTTCTCGCAACACCGCCAGGAAAAAGACTGTCATTAGTCTGAATAACTTGTTCTTCTTTAGTCTGCGTGGCAGTAGGCTGTGCTGTGCGTTGCTTTGCAGACTTCAGCCAACAGCCGTCTACCGCGTAGTAGCGTTTGCCATGCTTGTAAGCGGAGGAAGCTGCAGCATCTTTGGCGCAGTCTGTGATAGCCTGATTTGTCAGTACCCCATTCTCGCAAGTCCCGGCTGGGCAATGTGTCACACATAACATAACGAATATCGCAGTACAACCCCGCCCTGCTGGGCCTATTTTTGCCTCACTGTGCAGAATGAAGTTTTCTAAGGCTCTTAGGGGTGGTATCTTGGATGCATACACGCTTATTGCTTGCTTTTTTGATTTAGTACTGCTTGGGCTATTTTATATTCAGGATTAGAGGAGCTCCGTGTCAATCTGAAACTCACCCGCCCAAGATGAAAGAAACCATCCTAAGAACCCATCTCCTCTACTCCCATTAACTTGAGACGTTTGTGAAGTTTCGAAACCAGTAAAAAGAGACCAGTGCAATGGGCTTTCATTTTCTTCTAGCTCTTGGACCAGCGGCCCTTCCGCGACTTCTTCTTTCACGCTTAGATCAAGAACTTCGTCTGCCTCAGTATAAACGCCCGACGGCGCAAATAAATTACGACTGAGGGATTGCACGGGGAAAGCTACTATAAGAAAAGCTAGAAAGCATAAAGGCTCGAAGCGGGCAAGCCGCGAAAGAAAGCGAAGTTGGGAGATTCTCATGGGAACGACGAGACCTGTCGGCCGCACTAAGTCAGTTCTGCTTCCAAATGAAAAACAGCAGCAAAGCAAAAAATATTCTGTATAAATCAAAAGGAAATGTTAAAACATGAAAGCAGGCATCAGCCGGCCCTGAACGCGAAAATGTGCAATGCCGGTCAAAATGGTTTGCAAGTGGTCGGTGTCTTCCTGACCGCACGGTGGACCGTGGCCCTGATCTAGCCTTCCCATGCCTTGAAGTACATTAAACAAATGCAAAGTATGAAGCCGTCTTGAAAAGCTGCTTGAAATATGTGTTCAGGGCGACGTTCTTGCCCTCGGCAAACCCCCCCCACACACACGCTCCCTGACCATCAGGTGGCGAGAGCGGCCTTGATGGGCCACTGCTTGACTACGGGCGAGGAAGAATACGCATTCGCCCTTGCTAGTAATAGTGTGAACAAAACCATTTTTCCTGTAATTTTTCTTATATTGCTGGGCTTGATCGGTACTTCTGTGGGGATTTGGCGACGTGCGGGACTGTTCACACCTGCTACTGTCATTCTTTCCAATAATGGATACGAATCGCGTGTTTCCAAGCCAGACTACACTGTTTTATCATCTATATAGAGTTTCCTGTCCTTTCTTCAATTTGCACGAGCGATTCTTGCTGGTCGGCACAGCTGCTTATCCTTGTCTTCTTTGCACATGAAACACCGAACCACGACATTTCGGTATCTTTAAAACCCAAGTAGTTTTGTCTCATAGTATAGTAAGCCCACCTCAAGATTTTTACCTAACTTATATGGCTCATTTCGCCACTTCACAGCGAACTATTCAAGAACGGGGGCTCCTCCCCAGCGGCTCCCACAAGCACTACAACCAAGACCTCCCCAGATTGAGTCTCGCTAAAGACCCTAACTGAAGACCTCTCCAATATTAAAAAGACACATCCGTAGCATCCCACACAGCGTTAGGCAGCTAAAGGATACACGTGGCTGAACCTCAGCGCCTTGTGGGGCCCGGCAAGATGTCCCCGCAAATGGTAAAACCCAGCTCGCACGGAGCGACGCCAGAAATGCCACCGCTATAATACTAAACAAGGCGGGCCGCAATATTCGCTTTGTTTCTTCGCCTCTTACGCACCGTCACCCGCCACGCCTCAAACACACCTACTCAACGGGCCACTGTTTTGAGTACTGTAGTATTTCAGGGGCCAACTCTGCTAGGAAAACAAGTTGTAAGATGTCAGTTCCACTCAGGAGGAGCCCGATTGGATGCCCCCTATTCTGTAACGTTTCGAAACGCGGTATCCTGTACAGCAGCAATAGGTTAGGTTGACTTCCACAAGGGGCAGGGCGTAGACTGCTCAGTAGACCTAGAGTCATTTCAGGTTTTGCGCACTGCCCACGTCGACGTCTCCGTAAATGCGGACTAAAAAATACGAAATGAAGGAGGAATAGTTGGCGTGCATCGCACATACGATAGCAACATTAAGAGAGGAAGCGAGCTGGGGACCACGTAGCTCCCAAAAGCAAATCTGCATAGCTGCTATTTCTATGCCTCATGATGAAGTGCATAGACGGTCGTGATATCCTGTACAGTCTTTCGCAATTCACTGTTGTGCTACGGCGTAGCCCATAGACCCCGCGGCTCAACAAACAAGCGGCTGCACAAGTTATCTTAACAAATCTAGTGCCGCCACCACTAAGGACAAAGTACAGGCCAGGCCGTCAACAGGACTACGGAGACGAACTCTTGGTGCCGGGTGGACTCAGGTGCATCAGCGGTTCCATTCCATCAACGCCACCATTCTCGAGTGAATCCTGTAAATAAGAAAAACACAGGTGACGTATTCATGTTGCAAGGAAACAAGACAAAGCGGCAATACAAACTTAAAGGCTTGAACGAGTGCACTAAACGCCTTACTCGCAATATTGCTGCTTGAAGAACTTCCGAGTTGCCTCCGAAGGCGCTGTCCAGATCCAGCTTTCGCTGGCAGCACTGAATATCATGCAGCACATGAAAGAGAGAACATGCAACTCAGCTCATTCAAACTAACTTCTCATGGCAAGAATGTGAGGG